CGTACAGTGTATCGGCACGGGACAGTCCTCTAGCACAATGTGAGATTTCACCACTGGTCTCCTACTTTGGAGAGGTGAGAGCAGGAAAGTTGCCACAGATAAAAACATTATGGGTATCTGAGAAACGCTTCATAGAGAGAAGCCAAAGCTACACACGGGTGTTGTTTGGTGTTATATTGAAGACTATCCCTCACTAATTGGCTATATAATGTGCTGCTTTTTAACTACCTTCTCCTTTCCTCTGGCAGGGCCTGGAGCAGCTGCTGAAAGGGAGGACACTGCAAACTCCCTTCATTCTGGATGAAAAAAGGGCCAAAGAGCTGCAGGCTCAATAAGACATCTCTGATCAACATAGTCTTACATGATTGTCAGCAGACATTCCAGTACAGCAGAGTACCTCACTGATGTGTTCGGGTAGTTTCAGCCCAAGAATGAACAGTTGTTGAAATCAATAGCTGAATTGCATGTCCATCATAAAAAAAAGTCAGAACTGCAATAAATTTTCTACAGTGACTCTAATCATAATCATATCAACTGCCATTTCATCCATCTCATGTAATTGTCTTTGTTAAAGAAGAGCTACAGATCATGTGATTACTGGAAAACAAAAGACAAATAAGGGACTAGTAACAACATAAGGGAATTTTTATAAACATTGTTTTTATTTAGATGATATTTTTGGTAGGTGTAAACACCTCGCCCTATCCTCACCTTTTTAGTAAATTCTACTTCCTGTTTAACTTTAAAGATACTAGAATTAAAGAGCCCATAGTATGCTCATTTCCAGCCATTTAGTGTAGATTAGCTTTGCACTTCATATCACCAAATAGTCTAATTATTTTAGAACCATAAAACCTGAGAACCTCTTCCTAAAAACAGGAGGATATTTCACCAACGCACACACTTACTGCTGCCTTTGTTGTGTTGAAATCCATTTCCTCATCAAGATGTTTTCCCTAACCTAATTAAAATTAAGACTACTCCTCTAATAGAACAAAAGAACAGGACAATCAAATGTGGACTATTAAATATCTTTGTCTAAATTTGTTAGTGAATGATTTGATAAGTGAACATCACATTGACTTATTGTGTCTTACTGAAACATGGTTACAGCAGGAAGAATATGTC